CGAACGAATAAAATTATTTTTGCGTTTTATATACGGGATGTGCTCGAAACTTGCACTTCCGGTAATTCCATTCTATTTTAAAACGATTCTTGTTAATCGTAATTCTGCGACCTTGAATCATCCGAAGGACACTGTACGCGGGCTCGTTGGGCTTGACTCTTTTGTGTTTTTATTATACTAGAGTAGAATAGAAATCTTTAATTAAAATTTATTTCTCTACTTGCGTAAACTTGTTAATGAAATATGTAGGTATCACCTGTGTTTATGGAAAATAAGAAACTCCTTTTTCTATTTTCATTTCTGTAGTATAATTTATTAGTTGGAATTGAAATTTTACACACACAAAATTTATTGAAGAAATTTCAAGTTTCAAATTTTTTATTTTTAAAAGTTATTTCTGAAAGAAATATCTCTACTATTTCCTTTTATTTTACTAATACTTTTTAGTGCTTGAGAACAAGTTATAATTAAACTGGCAGGATTTTTTAAAGGCAAATTGAATAGATTTTTATTAAAGAAAAAAAAAAAAGGATGTATTATTGTATTTAACGAATTAGAAAAAGTAAACAAATCAAACTCTACATTTTTATTGCTAAATATAACGATTGCTTAATAATTAAGTTTTTAATACTTTAAACAACGGTTACAGGTATTTATTTGCAGAAGAAATCGCCTTCGATAATTAAATTTCTTCATAAAACTGACCACAGTTTGCATTGGTATTGTATTTTACAATTAACATGTTTCTCAAAGTGTCGAGCCCTAATTGACTGTTTTTCTTGACCAAATTTGACTTATTATTGAAAACAGTCTTTCCACTAGTGCATCTGTACCAGGAATACCAAAAAGATATTGAACTTCTTTAATTATATACAGGGCGAGAAAGGAGAAGCTAATTATCTTCTCCAGTTATGGAGGTGCTAGAAAATTTTTATACCTAATACAAATGTTTTAAGAAATATTTCTTTTATAGAAGTAATGGCACAAAATGGAAGAAAGTGTCACAGTTGATTTAACACTTTAGAGTTCTAGGTCTGCTTAAGGTCAGTTGAGGTCATAAAAAAATATACACATTCATATAAAAAGCATAGGTAACTTTGAGTAAAAAATAGGGAAAGTGGCATTTATAAAAAAATTTTTCTTCCATTTCATTGACTCTTTATAAGTTGCCTGTTTTACATGGCCCACCCTGTATATAGTTTTCTTCTGCACTTAGAGTTGTTTCTCTTGAAATCAGTGCAACAGTCAGTACAAAATTGAAATCAGTACAGTGCCTTTAAAATGACTATAGATCTGGTCACTTTAAACGTTTAAAGTGTTGATTTGAAGATTAAAATAAGCCCAGTAAAGTAAATCCAAATGTCAAAATAAACCCAAATAGAAATAAACCAAAATATCAAAATAAGCCCAAATACCAAAGTAAACCGAAATATCAAAATAAACCCAAATCAAAATAAGGATTAATTTTTCCTAACATCTGCATTCCTAACAAGTGAAACTTTTGAAAATACAGCGTTGAAGCCAATGGCGTCCTCTCCATGAGGGTTGCAGCCCCTCCAGTACAAAATGAAAGTTCCTACTTTATTATGGTCGCTATTAAAAAAAAAATTTTTACAAAATTCTTACGAGCCGCCACTGGTCGAGGCAATTTGTTTACACGAACGTGTGTGAAATTGAGAAATAGAGAAAAACGTGTAGGATATCTCGGAGATCGAATGACAGGCGTAAATTTATTTCCGAAGTATAGCTTATTCCGTGTTCAATATGCAAATCGCGCCGTTTCGTTAACATTCTAAACACCGCTCCATCTGAATAACAAAGCAATGTTAATGTATTATACCTTTGGTCGTGGCTCGATCGGAAAAAAGCGCGCTCGCAAATATGAATGCAACGGCAAAAATAGACACGTTTTCTTCTTTTCAGCATAGAACGAACTCTTCTACGTTGTTCTGTGTCCGTTGATTTCCTTTCAATTTTTTTTTTTTTTTTAACCTTAATATTGATTTCGTAATTAAGGAGCAAAAGCTTTTTTGCATCGATTGCTTAACAATCTGTTCGATGAGTGAATGTGAATGTTATTGGAATAACGAAGTCACGCGATAATTCAATTCTCTTTAATTCTCTTTGCTTTCTTTAATATTTGTTACGTGATAATTTCCAATGATTAGCACACAAT